CACACTGGTCACTGAGACAGACCCTTGGCTAGAAGCTTTCCCCACCACGTCGTAGGGCCGTTGGGTAAGTCGCCTATGTCTAATCAGCTGACTGGATTTGCGTTTCTAATTTGCTGTTTATATTGCATCACATTCGGTACAAAAGAATGAAATTTAAATTTTGCTTGTCGCTTGTTTTGGGCGACACACCAAGCCTTAGTTGCAACCCAAACTTGAGCATAAATGGGGCCTAAGGTAAATATCAGGGCTATCCCTAGGGTTGGCAGCGCCCGGAGCAAACGTGGTTGTGGCGCCCCCTCCCCCCCAGTAATAATAGTCGCATTCACATATTTTAATCAATTTTATGTATATATAATGAGAAAAAAGTTATAAATGAACATAATATTTGAATTAGCAAGCCTATTCTTTAAATATAATAATCTTAAAAATTTGGTTGTCCGGATGCAGATTAACTCCTAGGGAGGAATTTGGAAATCCATTATGTCTTACTGGGATAATAATGAAGTATTTATTTTTATTTAAGGACTGGTCTTGGTTGTGTTACTTACTTTTTTTAAAGTTGAAAATCAATATGATTAGGCTCAATAATGGAGTGTATTTTAATGTTTCATAAAGAATAATAGGCGAACAGCATTAAACATTTTGGTTTATAAAATATTTTTAGATAAGGGTAGGGACCTTAATAAAACACACCAATGAATCATAATAGGTAGTCTATAAATTGGAGAAAGTTTTACTGTTTAAAAAATACTTCTTACAACACAATTGAAATAAATAAAGATTATAAGGCGAAGTTAATAGCTGAGCAACCCTTCTGCATTCTTCTGTCATGCTATCCTGAAACAAATAAACAATAACTCAAAATTGTAATCAGAACTAAATAGAGAAAGGGGTGTCTTGTTAACTTGGTGGTTAACTTGTCCTGGACTTTGCTGCAAGAGAAATTGAGATTGACTTAAAGGATCCTTGCACAAGAAGAGAGGATTCAACATAATTTTTCCATGGATATTGCACACACTTGCCCAGCACAGCACAAACCTGCTAACAGCAGGCTACTATTAAAATTAAAGTAAAGTAAAGTACTGTAGAACCAAATCAGATTACGCTCTTGTGTCCACCATAGCATTATAGAACACCATAGAGGACTAAACGGTTTTCATAGTCTTTTATCAATTATGTATTAAATGTATCCATTCAAATACATACAAATTATAACCCAATGAATGATTGAAATACATGTCATGATGAAACCATACAGCGGTAGCCCAAGTACGGCTTCATCATATAAAATCATATGCTAGTTGGTCTGACCATACTGGGCAGGAGTAGAGTGGCCAGCTGTGCTGCGGTTAGCGTATCGTGCGGACGACGACGTTTTGTGACCACGGCATTCAATGATGATGTCTACACAGCCGCGGAAGATGTTCATGATTTTGACGCGATTGCAGAAGACGACAATAGCGAATAGTAATCATTTTGTTTGCAAGAGTGGTAGTGCTGGTAACAGCTGGCGAGTAGTCGACGACGTCACTGAATTGAATACCTGATAACTGATATCGAACAGCAAAAACGTTCAAGCGGCAGATCGCAAAACCTTTCTTTGACCGTCTATATTTACTCTTTTGTCTATGACTATAGTATTACACATCTACCATACCCATAATGTTCTACCACTTCACCCAAACAAAAGAAAAAATTAATTAGCCTATTAAAGATTCACAAAATATCACAAATTATTCGTGAAATTAAAAACATAAACATAACTGTAAACAGACAGTTATCATTGTGTATCACAGTTTTTTGTTGCTGCTTAGTTCAAATTAGCTATTTTCATAAATGAAAAAAAATAATAGTGCTGCATCCTGTTGGTAAATCTTATAACTTTTTTTTTTAATAAAAAGAGGTTGGCGGCCTCTTTTAACCTTGCATTTGCCCGTCCACAAAGACTACAGATCTGTGCGTGGAACGTATCCAGCAAAGCAAGGGGTGAGCCGTTACAGTACAAAGGTGAACTGTACTGATAAAAGTTAGTGGCAGTGACCAGGATCCGAACCCACGACACTACTGCCTTGGGCCCGAAGTCCGCGACGCTACCGACTGAGCCACCGACTCACCAACTTAATGCAACTTTAATCAACTTAATCAATTTTTAATGCCTTTGCATATCATAGAACCAACCTTTTTAGTTGAATGCCAATCGCAGCACTGAAACGGAGAAATTTAAAAACAGTATTTTCTTAAATAACATGCCTTGTATTATTCTGTCACCATAGGTAACTCTGAAACTTGAACAGTGCTGTAAGTTGATTAAAGTGTCTCTTTTTCCAAATATAAAAACTTAACCGCCACAGCACATCATAAGTTAATGTTAAACAAGAACTGAAAATGCTTCTTAGTCATATTGATAGCTTAGCCAAACTTACTTACCTTTATTGCTTTTGATTCTTTTCCAAGAAAATTTCTCTCCTTATTTGGCCCCAAATAAGCAGACAACTTCATCAATATTGTTTACATGTGAAGTACTCCCATACATTAACACCAAACATTTGCAATGCTCCAAGCTTTACAAGAAAATTTACCTGGAACAAAAATAGGCAGTGTACATCATTCAGGCCTACTTCTTGTTAAAAGTAAAAACAGAATATAGAAACAATGACTCAAGGTAGGGCATATTTTCTTTCTACATATATTTGGATTTGTAAATAAAAACTTAAAAACCCAATGGCCACTGGTTCTCTCAAACCCAAGTGTCTTTACCCAGGTGGAACTTATAAAGTGTGTTTTTTATTAAAACATTAATAGCTTAGTACTATAAAATAAAGCTATCAAGTTTGATTTATAATAAATATAGCCTATATATTTATATAGAGTAAAATATAAATTAAGCTTTTTGTTGGTCGCAAAACATAAACAAATAAAAAGTAGAAGAAGGTAGCTTCTAATGTTATTCTTATGGGACAAATTTAAAAATGTATTTTTAGGGTTTTATAATTACTACTGAACAGAATCGTCTAAATTTTATGGTGTCTTTCCATTGGTGTCATAATTAAGATTTGTGCAATTTTTTAACACTATAGGTGCAACGGTTAGCTTGAGTTTTTTATGAGAACACTTACACACACACACAGTCAAGCGGACAACTAATCCACGACTCCGCTATACACAACACGATACATAGATGACATATTATTTTTTTTTAATTTCTTTAGAAAGGTCTAGAGAATAATTGATAAATTTTGTGTTTTAAGGTATTAACAGTATTAATGGTAGAATAAGTTAAACGGTACAGTTTCTTAACTGGGCTACGATAATTTTATTGAAACTATCGATTCGATTAGTAAACCTACATGCGATTTTTTCACCATCAGCAAGTTTGGTTGGTTAGGTTAGGTTATGATAGTTTAATTTTATAATAAACTTAGATATACGGTAGGCTATTTTAAAATATCAATTATTAATCAATATTTTTAATTTGAGAATGAGAATGAGAATGAGAATTTTATTTTCTCATTCTCATCAATTTTGCATGATTTTTTTAGTTTTTTTCCAAAATAGCCACTCTCATTTAATTTTGTAGAATGAACACTTATTTTTATGTATGCTTTAGTCAGCATGTTTTACTATTGTACTTATGACTGTCTTGTGCATTTCAAGCATCCATGACAAGATCGATTGCATGTAATTTTGCCTAAAGATCAATAAATGTCTTATGTCTTAACAGTAACTTACCTAAGTTAGTTAGCCTATATTTCTAAGCACGCTGCTTCAAAAACAGACAATTCCTATCTTAAGTTAATACACCTACACCTTGTTTATGAATGTAGGCCTAAGTCATTAGTTGAATAGGCTGCACTTTAGTTTACATCCTACACTCATTCTAATCAAAAATATCAGTTAGATTATTCGATATTTCAATTAGGCTATTTCATTAATAACCGAACTTGATAGCCTACTTATATCGTATATAGGCCTACTCGAATACTTGATAATCATTCTATATATTCATTCGAATGAGTGTAGGACGTAAACTTAAGTGCAGCCGTTGAATACATTTACTGATATTTTTATTAAGTCAATTGTTTATGCCTGTCACAGGAAATCTGTAACTTAAGTCACAGCTAACTTAAGCTTAAGTAGGCTAGGCAACTGTACCTACTAATTTAACTTAATTAATAACACTCAAGCAAATAATAGCCTACTGCATTTTGTTACTTTGAATAACAAGGCCTAGGAACAGGATTGGATTAAAACTTACTGGATTTCAACACCACAATATAGTTTTGGAATTTTTTGATGTTTACAATTTATTAATAATCATTGTTCCTCTCCTTTATCTTCTGTCAACACCAGCCAGACCATTGACAAGATTCATTAATTTTCAATGCCGTTATCCTTCACTTCACTTCATTGTCATATCTTTTAACTTCTCACTATAAATATTTCTTGCTTTTTCATTGTCATACACCATGTAATTGTTGCCATTTCTCGTATAAAAATCGTGTATAACATTTAAATAAATAAATGTTTAGGTTATAAAATACCATATTATCGCCGTTGTCAGTCGTCACTCGTCAGTACGGTGACGGTCAATTACAAATTACAATAATTATCGTATCCTACCATAAAATATCGTATATATGGTAGACCTGACTGAAGCGAGCAGCTGATGCCATTCCCACAATGCAACATTCTCCTCAATTATAAGCTATGCCCCAAAATCAGAATTATAAGGTATGACTCAAAATCAGGATTATAAGCTATAGAACAGATTCGGAATTATAAGCTGTGCCACTATTTGACCATTATAAGTTGTGACACTGAAAATGTTTCATACCTTATAACGTTTTAGAGAAATTGTGGCATAGCTTATAATTTTTCGTGAAAGTGTGGCATAGCTTATAACTGATTATAAGCTATGCCACATTTTCAACATTATAAGCTATGGAACAAATTCACGATTATAAGCTATGACATTATAAGCTATGACACCCCACGGCCTGACGGCCACTGCAGCCCTATGATAAGTCCAGTCAAGACGAGAAGAGTACACAATTGAGTTATTGTGCAAAAACAATACCAATACATTTTTAATAACAACTTCAAGATTCTGTAGATGTCATCGCCTATTCAGCTTGTGTAATTCAATGGTAAAAATTGAAATATTTATACAATCCAAGTTACAAGAATAACTTACTAATAATAGCAAAGGCTAAGATAGGCTAACAGTAGATTACCGGTACCTTCAGTGTTTTGGCTTTTTGAACATAGTTTTTGTGTGGGTTTATTTTGCAAATGTTAACTTAATACTTGCGCCACAGACATTTTTGCTTTTGGAGATAACTTAGGTCTAGGCCCAAGTTACTGAAATCTTATGCTATTTCAAATACCTAAGTTAATGTCTCAAAAAGCGAACCCCTAGATGGTAGGGTATACATTAATTAACCTATTCCTATGAACTAAATAAAATCAATGTCACCAACTTTTTCTGATTGCCTTAATTTACTAACTTTATTATTGGTTAGCTTGGTAATGAGAGTATTGAACTACCGATAATGCTGTTGTAGTGAGGTTAGGATCGCTGATTACTGTAAGCCTAATGTTGTAACTTGTCAAATACTTCTGTAACCTAACCTGATCAGATTTTCTGCATTGGAAGTCATCACACTTCTAACTGCACTTTGTACACTTGTAAAATCCCCTACAATCTATTGGTTGTTTGACAGGTTTGTGCTTTTTGTTTGAATTAGTGAGGTTAGCCTAACCAAACCTAAGTAACTCTTCTTCAAAGTGGAACATCTGGCACCATTCCATCTTAGATCTTGGACCGTTCACTTCTGTGACAGCGAGTTATCATAAAAGAACTTGGCAAAATTGTACCGGTAGTAATTTTCTTATAATCATGTCTCTAGTAAACTTACGTTCGTAGGCTACTGTAATTTTAACTTTCTTATGGATTGCATCTTAATATACAGCTGTTGCTCTTGGCTACAGTTCTGTAGAGAACATGTTTTATATGATTCAATATCAATAATAATTAGGCCTATCAATTTAGATTAGTTTTAAAATAAATTAAGGGTAGGCCTATATCACTTTTAAAATATTAAGTTTATTTTTCTGATGTAAACATTGAATTTAGTTATGATTTGATTAACTTACATTTGTATTGGTGCTTAATGAAACTATAACTTGTAATAGGCTACTTTAATACTTTCTTATGAAATAAAAATTCAACCAAAAGCAAAATGTAGGTCTATTTTATGAGACTTAATAACTCAATAAATGAATAAATAATAAAGGCCTTATGATAGATAAATAAGCTATTATAGTTTCAATTTTTATTTGTACAATTTCAGGACAAAAGAAGACTAAAATAAACAAACAACTTCATTAATGATTTGTTATTGTTTTTATTTATGGTAAAATTAAATTCAATGCGATTGAACTGAAATTACTTTAGGCTAATCTAGTAATTTCTTGTATGGCAGGTTCTATGGTTACCCGTCTTCTTAAGTAAAATAAGTCCTGAGATGTTTTAATACGTTACCGTAGGTCCGTAGGCCTACCACTTGTGTAGCTTGTTTGGACAGTCGCTCATGGAAGTGCACAAGATAAGGCTGTTGCACATTTAACCTCCTATTTGGTGCAGACGGTACTTTCCTGTTTAGGGGAACATTCATTATTATCGATGATTTCTTTTCGATATATCGATATTTTTGTTTTCAGTTTACGATCCATATTCCATCTGTTTTAATATCTTCAAACGCATTTAAATTACAGACAGACAAACAGACATAGCAAATAGATTTAAGTTATACTTGGTTCGATAACCGAGTTATAGCTAGTTAGAGAATAGGGAACTAATCTTGTTTAGGCAAAAATATTAACCTATATATTGGATTAAGAAATGAAACTATTCTAAACTATAACCTAACATGACTAATCAAACTTGCAGTATGCTAAGTTACCATTTCAAAATTCCATTTGGTAACAGAAAAGGCATATGGGAAATAGGCTATCAAACGGAATTTTGAAATGTTACAGCAAGTTTGGTTAGTTAAGAACAGTTTCATTTCAATATTATATTTTTTTATTGTTTGTTGATACTGAACAAAATTTATTTATTGTTGTTGTCAGCTGATAAGTTTCTGTTAATATCAATATATCGAATAAAAAATATCGATATATCTAAAAGAAATCATTGATAATAATGAATGTTCCCTTAACAGGAAAGTACCCAGTAGACAGTTTTAGTTGATAACACATGATACTTAACTTACGACGTCGACACACGGAAGACTGTTATTCAACTGAAATCGGCAACTAGTTGGACAAACTAGTCGCCTGCGTCCCGACCAATGTAGTTAGTTGGGACATTTCACACAGGCCCACTTTTATAAACGGGCAGACTGGGCATATGCCCAGGGGCGCCGAAGGTTTGGGGCGCCCCTCAACCACCGCCTGCCCGCACTAGGAAAAATGGGGGCACTGCTTTTGGGTTTGCCCAAGGCTCCACCGACCCTTAACGCAGCCCTGAATGCACACGGTGCGACCATAAGCAACCGGACCTGCCAGTTGGAAGGTGATTACAGTCGCCTGGTTTGATCAACTTTTCCAGCAGCATTTTTGTGAATATTGTGAGTATTGACATCCTGTACATGGACTGAAATTTTGTGTCTGTTTCTTGTAATGCAGCAGCAGCTAAAGCAGCTACAAAGAGCCTACATTGAATATTTGTTTCAACATAAGGATGTACCCATTAATACCTTCTACGTCCTCTACGCTTTCTTGATTGTCTATAAAACACCAGGGCTTCTTCATCACTACTACTCATTTCAAACACCATACACAGTACACAGTATCGTTATATCAAAATTAGAACTCATTCAATGTCTCAACTCATCTACAATAATTTCAGTCGCGCCCAACTGCAGATTCAACCAGCGCAACTGCAGTTGTAATTGTGTCACAAAACAATTGGTTAAACTTAAGTTGGGTTTCAGTCTTCCCGTGACTAGACCGCCTAACCGTTCTTGTTTTTCACCAAACGAGGGAGGACACAAAATGCATTGTGATGTTTTTTTTAGGAGACGCTTGGCAGTGGTGTGTTGAAGCAGATAGCCGAAGCCCTGCTAGAGACTGTCCAGTGCCCTGTGTGTCTCTCAGCTCTGCGTCCACCAGTCACATTGTGCTCCAGCGGCCACGGACTTTGTCCGGACTGCAAACCTACCATTGAAGTCTGCCCAACGTGTCGCGAAAACTTTATAGAAATCAAACCAATCATTCTACACCAACTGTTGGAAGCCCTACCAAGGGATTGTCAGTACAAATCTCTTGGTTGCGCTGAAGTATACATCCCTGGAGGGAGTCACGAGCAAGTTTGCTGCTATCGCACGGTAGACTGCAAAGTCTTAGAATGTGGGTGGACGGGTCAAGCCAGGAGATTGAAGGATCACGTAATGACTGCCCATGATGAGACTGTTATTGTGGAAGAGGTGAAGAGTGAACTTACCTGGGACTACTTAAACCGTGATGAAGATAGCTTCAAATATATTCCGTTTGTAGCTGATGATCAAGTGCTATGGGCATATGTTAATTTAAGCGTTCAAGTTTCCAAGCTGTGCATTTCATTCACTCAATCCCCCGTAGGAGCGCCCAGAAATCAGCATTTTGCCATTGTTCGTTTTAAAAATGGGGTTTTTGAGTTCACCCATACAATTAAGATTCCACTGGACACGTCTGACGCTATATTTGACTTCCTTGAAGATCACTGCATGATGATTCCTGTTAGTATGTTGTCACGGTTTGTAAACCAGGATTCTTCACTTGAGTATAGCATTCAATTTGTCAAAGAGAAAATATAAATGTTGAAAAGAGCAAGATCAAATGAATATACCTGAGACAAACTTTGCAGTTCATTGGTTGGTTATGCCGGGTTTGAAAAAAGGTTTTAATTTGTAATCCTTCATTGAAGATCACTTATTATATTCCCTATTACAATATTCAAGATAAAAACAGCACTTGCATTAAAATAATAATTTTTTAGAATTAAGGAGTTTTGTTATAGGTTAACCAGGATATTTGTATCTCTTGACACAAGTATGAAATATAATATTTGGTAAAAACATCTGGTGGTTTATTTATGTCATTGAATTTTAGAGTATGATTCTTTAACCGGCAAGGTTTATACCCAGAGGTAGCTACTACCGCAGATTAGACATATTCCCTTGTGTTGGTTAGTATATGCCACTTACTGGGTATATGGTTACCTACTACCATACCAAGCAACACAAGTAGACTTCTCATCCCATTGTAAATTTTGAAGCTCGTTTTTTGTGTCTAGCTCATGTCTGTTGACTGATTGCTAATGACAACAAAATTTAGATTATATTATTTTAGGATTAATTTTATTTTGCGCTTTACCGTTTGGATATATATGTATAACTAGGCGATGATTTATTGGTTATGATTAGACCATTTTATTTGGTTAAACAAGGTTTTAAATAACAAGATACAAATTGTAAACAAAACACAACCTCTACAGTGCACCAGACAGAACACGGAACTAACAATAAAATTGGCTTCAGCTGTCCTATAAGGATGAGAAATCTACTAAGGGAGTATGTTTTATCCATGCTCTACCTATCTTTTATTTTATCACTAACTTTTTGATAGTGAAAATAACTACACTACAGTACCCTTGGTATTCTATTGTAAAATACAAAGATTTTGTGCTTGTAATTTTTTACTCTTTTTATGTTTTGATAAATTTAGTGGTTGTATTTTGCTATAACGCCACACATCTAATAAAAATTAAGTTATACGTTGACTATTAATATACTCAATGAGTATTAAACTTAAATTGAGTATATTAATAGTCAATGGCTTCAAAGGGTTTGAATATCACACAGTTTTTATCTCATCCCATAAAAAAAGTCAATGACAAGGACTAAAACAAAAAAAGTTCACAGTTTACTTTCATTCTGTTAACCAATAGGAACGGTGGGGCACACGGGAGGGACTATTACTAACATATCTTGTAGTGTCAGGGTTTGCCGCTAGAACCGCTAAGTTGAAACAATTTAAACTAGTGTACATGTTGCTAGAATTCGAGCAATTGCAAAGTATTACTGGAGTTATTTCAAAACGAATAACAGTCATATTTACAATGAGTTTAAAAGAGTCAACTCAAAGATTACCGGTGTGTAACTCAGACCATGTTTATCTTTGTTATTGGTAAACCTAAAGCATTCCGGTCGGTTTTTTTCCTTCTCATAATACCTTGCTGTACAGGACTGAACCTAACCTAACCAACCAAACTTGCTGATAATATAAAAAATATAAACATACTGTATAAGATAAAAATCAAATAAATGTTTCCTCATAATTTTTATTTATAAAATTAATTTTATAATTTAGTATTATAGAATTAAACTGTCATAACCTAACCTAACCAACCAAACTTGCTGATAATATAAAAAATATATAAGATAAAAATTGAATAAAGGTTTACTATTAAAAAAAGTTCTGTTCATAAATAAAATTGTAAATGGATTAAAAATTAACAAAAGATGTACAGTTAACAAGTATTCACATTCTAAGCAAAATCTTTGACAAAAGTTAGTGTCACGGCTGGTTTCGAACTGAAGACCTCCTGAACACCAGTCCAAAACGCTATCAACTATGCCACGAACGCCGCTGGAATCACTTCATCTCGTTACGGTAATCGTTTTGCCTCAAGAGAAGACATTAGCCACTAGAGATAAGACGTCACCACACCTTTAGCCATAGTCCCTCCCGTATGCCCATCCGTCAATAGGAGTGTGTAAATTTGAATGCCATAAGCTATGGAACTGGTTAACATAGGAATTGAACCACCTGTTTGCATATGTTGATGTTGTTTGTTTATACTGTAGGCCTATATAAAAAATGATTCATATTTTTCTATGACTCAACAACCTTTAATCTTAAAATTTTTCAGATTTTGAAAACTATTCTAGGATTAGAAATCACAACTAATTAGAATTATCATTAAAATCTTAATGTTTTAAATTTACTAAGACAGTAATGCAGCATTATACTACAGTGTTTTTATATAAACTACAATGTAAATCACAAATACAGTACAGTACACTTCTTAATAATGTACAGTACAAAACGTGTAAAGTAATTCAGTATTACTATTAGGACTACTAGGGATGGTCAAGTCTCGAAATTTCGGGAAATTTTCAATCTCGTTACACGAGACGAGATTACTTTTTGGCCGAGATTTTTATCGAGACGAGAATAAAAAAAAAAAAAAAAAAAAAATTAAAAACGCCTGCAGAAAGTCAATGCAATACCCGCAATACAGGAGCGTGTTGTAGTTGCGTTTCCTTTTCGAAGGCGTTCTTATTTAATTAATTCTTTTAATGTAAATATTACTTTCATTATTTTAATAATATTACTTAAATAACATTTGAGAAGTTTTGTTAAGTGTAAGCAGTGTGAGGAATGTTTTATTACTAAAAAAAAGTCAAAATAAGTAACTATTTTATAAAAATTAATATTGCTTTTATTTTATGATTTATTTTATTTTAGGATAAGGTGAACTCTATCCTAACTGATATCACCATGTTTCCTAATGGTAGGCATTTTTAATAAGTTAGGCGTGATTAATAAAAAAATGTTATGCTGATGTTATTTAATGAAAGATTGTAAATATTCTTGCCTATTATCATTATTTTAGTATTTAAACAGTCATCTAACAATGTTACAAAATCAGGTAAAAATTTCGAACGTGCATTTCCCGTTGTGTATGAGAAGAGAAATCTCGTCTCGAAATTTTATGAGAAATAAAAAATCTCGTCTCGAACAAAAAATCCAATCTCGTCCATCCCTAAGGACTACAGTATCAAAATTAAGACTGGGACGGGTGGCGTCGTCCTGTAATCTAGCTACGAGGAGGTCACTGATTGTGGATATTTATAGGCATGCACTGTGGATGCGATACTCCCTGTTGTGGATTAATGTCCGCACAAGTGAGTACTACGACTATCCGCAGTACTATCCTGATAATTAGACCAATTCGTATATATCAAGGCAAAAATGTGGTTCAGATTCCACTATAAACTGTAGGTCCCTTTGTTGGCATTAGCTGTATGGGCTATTAATTAACAGCTGTGTCTAAGGAATGTCGGCCTTGGTCACCAACAAGACTGGGGCACTCATCTCCATTCATAATTGGCTTAAAATACCTACTTTGTATGGTCACCATTTAATAAGAAAGTATTAAAAGTATATCGGTATCCACTGTACGTGGTGTGTAGTTGTGTACTTGAGCAGTTTTGGGCGCAACCAGCGGCACTGCAGATCTTTGTTTACTTAGCATGCGAGTGAATCACGTGACCGGTGAGTAATCTGCACGTGCGTGGTCATTCACAATGTTGACTCACCCACCTTCCCTCAATAAGCGCATCACTACAGCATTAATTCAGTTAAACTCAATCACTGTTTTCTTCGTTAGTGCAAACGATCAGGTACGTCCTTTTATTGTATAATAAACTTATTTAAATCACTTGTGTGTTGTTTTAGTGCCTTCAACCTTTGTTTAACCATTAACTAAGATTTTGCAGCTTATCCGCAAAATTTGATTATCCGCGGTATTCTCGTCAGTCAATCCCGCGAATTATTGGGAGTTTACTTTAAACTAAACCAAGGGAACACCAGTTTACTATAATCTCCTGCACTCATGGGTAGGGGGAATCGTGGACATTTTCTGGGATCATGAAGGCACCGGCCAAATAGTGAACATCTTTTGCAATCGTGGAGACATCTTCTACGTCTCCTATGATAATGACGAAATCTTTGACATCTTGCACATTTGCAGGGATAACAATTAATTTTGTCTTCCTCAATCACAACAAAATCGAGTAAAATACACGGAGATGTGATTTTTGATTGTGCAATTTTCACAAGCCCTTTCTAGCTTGGCTGAAAAATCTAACCCCCTAACAAATTACCCGTGAAATTCTTTTTTCAAGAGGAAAAAATTTCCTTCCAGCCCCAGATTGAGTTTGCCGAAAACCAACCGTGTCTGCCATTTGGAAATACGGCCCTAGGTTTATGAGTAGGATTGAATAAACTGCTAATCAATTTCCTTGATATATAATGAAAATATGGATATCATGAGGTAAATAAACCAAACAGAGGGTTTGTACAAGGCATATTATTTACAAATTTTCAAGTTTCTAACATATCTTTTGGAGACACGGTACAACTAAACTACCTGGAACAAAATTAAAACTGAAATTAAAATCACTTATACAAATAATACCTCTGTAGTGTACACTATGTTTTACTGTGAAAAAAACCATGGTGCCATTGAGTTGAAATTTCCAAGTAAAGCACCTGCTGATAGGAAAAACTGTTTATCTCAAAACTTTCTAAAATAAAATACCCCCCCCCCCCGCAGCAAACCTGCAGACTAAGCGTATTTCCATTTTCAGGCTGGATTTTAATAAAACTATTCCCTTAAAATTGTCAGATTTATTTCCTATTTAAATAACATTCATTTTAGGGAGTACACTTAGGTTTGCTCGTACAGTGAAGGTATTGAGGTGTATTTTTTATTTTGATATCGTTCTTTGAAATTAACAAAATTGCCAAATGTGATTCAAACATATCCATAAACAAGCAAACTACAATAGTTTATTCATTCTCTATAAGAACGACATAGGAATTTTAACTTTAAAATTGTTTGCATTATCTCCTTAACACGTTCAGTGCAGCAGGCAAGATTGGAAGGAGTTCCCTAAAACATCCAAAGGTAGCAGCACTGCCTGGATCAGTAGTCAGTGGCTTTGTAATATGGCTTGAAGAGAGAAAATCCCCAAAACTGGGACAAAAGCATTGTCAGACTGGATTTTACGGAAATTTTAGGACCAACCTACACCAAAATAAAGCTCACATTCTAAGCTACAGGCTGGCAACAATTTTAACGTTCCCCGGCAATGGCTGAGCTTATACTGAACTAATGTAGTGGGGATTGCGCAACTACATCAATTGATGTAAGCCGCTCTTGGCGCGACTTCATCAATTGATGTAGTCAGCAATGAAAGTGTTAACCATTGGACATACAATAACGCAAAATTATTTATTTTTTTAAGCTGTACAAAATGGTTTGAAAAGAAATTATGGAATTTTGTGTTTTTATGTTCAAAAATGGGAAAATAAATTTTTACCCCATAAATACCCTGTTCCCATAGTCCGATAATGCTGTCGAATAAACGTAGGTTTACACGTTTGTACATTTTATCAAAATCGGATATTTTTTGCTTGAGTTATCGCGCTAACGGACACACACATGCACATATATGCTTATTCCCTATATGGGAAATTCGCTAAAATAAAATTTAATCAGGCCTTTTGTTTAAATTTGGACGTTTTATTTATACAAGATCGATTCTGGACTCAGATTCATCATTGGGATTTAATGATGATCGATATGGTTTAAAGACCAGGTTTTGGACTGTTTCCTTACAAAAAGCTGAAAAAATTTGAATGGCGATGAAAATAGCAACAAAATGAAAATAGTCAGCACATACCTCACAACGTGTTGAGAATCGCCCTCTGCCGTTTCTCTTCTAGCCACTGTTTGAGCAATCCCTCGCCAGATCTGTCCTCGGACCAATAGTACTGCTTTGGCGGAGGTCCTTCCTCCAGCCGCACAAAGTAGTGGCTGTAACGATAATCTATTCGGCCTATCCTGCTCTTGGCATGTCTGCGTATGCCTCGCAATGTTAGTGCTTTACCGCAGAAAGACTCAGCTGAAACAAACCAGCAACTTTCAATGTCGCCATGTAAAATCTTGATTTAAACCATTCACTAGACTATTAGGATCCTCTAGTAATTTCAGTGATTCCACAAAAGCTTTTCTTGACAAATATCCTCACACCTCTTAGAGTCACAGCAAATCTTGAGTGTTCTCTTTTGTGAGGTGGAATATGTATAATGTTTACGGAGGTAGCTTGCCCGATCCTTTGTCTCCTCAAGCCTAACCTTAAAAAATATCAAGATAATTCACCAAAATGTAATGCCCCCAGTACACTCTCGCCGAGACGCTCGCCGAAGCGTTCGCCGAGTAATTCGGGCGAGAGCTTATGCGAGGTAACCGTGTACACTCTCGCTTTGTCTCGCAGTCGAAATGGAAGCAAACATCGATGTGGAAGTAGCGCTCGCCACTCGTGCAGTCTCGGGTCCTTTGACTCGTGCCAAAAAACCGACTCCAGATGGAGCGCCGGCGAGCACGAGGCTAGGCGAGGCGAGGCGATCCGAGTCGAGGCGAGAGAAGACGAGCGCACCGAGTACACTCTCGCACTCGCCAACGCTCGCCTTGCCTCGGCGAGAGTGTACTGGGGGCATGAGTTAGGGTAATAGAATTTTGAGCACCACCCGGAAGTCATTATAACGTTAATGTTGTAATGAAGAGCTTTATATTTGATACAATTCAGAGCCATGAAATTCTTGTAAAAGTGTGGAATTTGGTGACTATTTCAAAAGTGTATAGCGCATAGTCTGTTCTGCTGACAAATTTGCTTCACTTACCAACCCAAAGATTGCTTTTGAATTCAACGTTATGTTTCTCTACTGCAAGTTGTTGAGCTTCAAGAATGGCTTCCTTCACATGTACGGCTCCCTTCCTAGGTACAAAGCTCAGCTGTTTAATGGCCTCGTCAACGGACATTCCTCGTACAAAAACAGCTATGTACCACAACTTCTTGAAGCTGTAGTGAATGTTGCATTTCATGTGACAAACGTACTGAAAAACATGTTTATCACTTTGTTAAATAGTGATTATCAACAACAGTTGATGTCAACTACAGTTATAATTATCCTTCATTTATATTGTTTTCTTAATTTAAAGCAGCAGTACTGTAAGTTTCAATCTGTTACTTCCCCTTTCTCACAAATTGGTTTTCCATTTGCTCACTACACGCCTCACAATTTCATACAGTATAGTTCATAAGTCATAACCATTATCAAAAGTGCTTTTAGAGCACTTTGTACTTGCTGCATTATTATCTATATGATTTGAGATGGGGACACCACCAATGTGCATTTCTTAACCCAATAATGAGTGTACAATGGGGTGTTTTATCCCGTACAAGACAAAGCTGGGTTTGTGGAACTCACAAACATGTGCTTGGCTTCACCTAGCTCTTACAATTTAGTGAGATCTTGTGTTTGTCACAGCCTTAGGGTACGTACACAGAAGAGTGTGCATGATTGCTGGTAGTCGGGATGGTAGCTTACTCTCTTACTAGAATAGATGAGTACCTGGTCGGATTGAGTCGGGCACACATCAACGTTATCAACCGTTAAAGAGTATTTTTACAAAGCAGTAATCAAGTAACTACCAACCCAGACTCTGCTGTGTCCCTGTCACCCTTACACATGAACCTAGAGCGTGCACCGGTAAAGGGCACACTTTTGGTACCGGTAGTTGAAACAAAATGTAAAATTTATTCAGTTCATCACACGTTGCTGTCTCTAACTGACTGGAAGGATTAGATGGGTAGCACTTAATACATGTTTTAGTCTTTCTGGTATTATGATGCCTATAAAGTATTGAATTTTGGAACTGAACTCAACAAATTTCTTAGAGAAAAAATAATATCTTGTAAGTTAACTTATATAAAGTTTCCTATGGGTATACAAAACTATATGATGTCATAGACAATAGAGTAAATATAGACTGTCAAAGAAAGGTTTTGCGATCTGCCGCTAGAGCGTTATTGCCGTTCGATATCGGTTATCGGTATTCGATTCGGTGTCGACCACGACTACTCGCCAGCTGTTACCAGCACTACCACTCTTGCAAACGAAATGATTAGGCCTACCATATCGCTAGTGTCGTCTTCTGCAATCGCGCCAAACTCATGAACATCTTCCGCGGCTGTGTAGACATCATCATTGAATGCCGTGGTCACGAAACGTCATCGTCGTCCACAATTGCGGCAAAATTGTGAACATCTCCAGCGGCCGTGTAGACATTATCGTCTTGCGCGATTGCAGAGAAGACGTGATAATTTTCCCCGCGGTCACGAAAACGACGTATATTATAGCATAAATAGCACAGTCGCGGTTTAAGGACATCTCCCGCGGTCGTGTAGACATCATCATCGTTTTGCGCCGTCACAGAAACGTGATCGTTGTCTAGTGCGATTAAGATAAAATCATGAAATTTCCCGACTTTGATATCAAAATAAAGACTAAATCCCAACTTTTCAAGACCATTTTGAAATTCAATACTAATACAGTACCTGGCTTTCACGTTTTCCCCGCATACTAGACACCCCTGGTTAATTAGATTTTGACCTTGCAAATGCAAAACAAAACTTTCCAGTAAACCACTTCCTAATTTATGGATTAATATAGAAAAACTTTGAATCATTGTAATGAAACTACAAAAGTATAAAAAATATACGTTTCAAAAATACAATAAAATGTGGCATTTAAATTACTTTATTGATTAGTATTAAAAAAGTCAGTAAACACCAATTCAGGGGAATTCCTCCAAAGTTGGCAACACTACTCCCAACTACCAAGTTGTTATGGAAACGGTCGCTAGCACTTGATGATGCAGCGGTGTGCGCCGTAACTACATATTACCCCTAGCGGTCGGCGCCGGAATATACGCTAACCGCAGCACAGCTGACAGTCTATATTTATTTCTTTTTGTCTATGATGATGTACAGTTGGTGCTAAGTAAAAGTGAATGCGTTAATTATACACTTACAGCAGGCCGTCTTTCTTCTTCAGGTCCCTGCGGGGGGAATACTTTTTCATTATAAGTTAGCCAATTTTTAGGTTCTGGGAAGATAGAATCTTTGAAGCATGTCCGACTTGAATGAAAATCAAGCTTTTGAATTAATAAGTTGCTGGCAGCTGCTACATTTTCAATGTGTAATATCGGCTTTCTTGTGAAAGCTGACAGTTTGGTTAAAACAACCGAACATTTCCTTATCGGTTGCATACTTTCCCCTCACTGTATGGAAGTAGTCATGAGGTTCTTAAATCTGCAAATCAAATGTAGAGAGATTATTAGCATTTAATTATAAGTTAAACTTATATTGTTTTACTTATAGGCTATATTAAGGTCATTATAAATCAATTGTGAACCCTGAACTTAATATATTTTCTTGAAGGTACATGTTGTGAATCTTAAGGTATTCTATTTTCAAACTTCATTATAAATAGCTAACTTTTGTTTAACCTATATTAGGCCTATTGGTTTTGTGAAGCTTGACTATAATTTGATTTTAAAGAAGATTTTTTGGGTTTTTGTATTATACCGAGTACGCCGATAAATCAGCTTCCAAATAAGACTTTTATTAGTTTATATAACAAAATCTTCCTAACCTAAGGGTTCTATTTTACCAATTTAGGTGTAGTCGGTATAATATGAAAGTACCGTTTCTTAGAAATGGACCAATTCCAAAACATGCAAGTTAACTTCTAAGTTAACTAAAGTTTTAAAGTTGCTAAGTTCTGTTTTGAGGCTGGTGTTACCTCAGCGAGGTGCAGTACAATATAGGTGGTGCCTTTAAAGGGCCACAAATGAAAGTTGGTGCTTTTTAGCATGGTGTTTGGTGTTTGACACAGTGTTCTTCCCATGTCATGCATGCACACACACACACACTCCCACAAATTATACTTTTGTTAATACTTCTGTAATATTTTACTGTCTTTTGTTATTATTTTCACAGTTTATAATTTGTTATCTTTGTTGCCATAGTCTATTTTGTTGGTCTTATTTAATCGTTGTTGTTATTGCCTGTTGTAGTTACCTTCATTACTGCTTGTTACTTGTTACCATTATTACTAGGCATAGTCTTCTTGTTGTTATTTATTGTAGTTTTCAGGTCCCACTCATGTATTTATTGCCAGCTTCCTTATTTATTATTATTGCAAGATTTTTGCACATACACACACACTCCCACAAATTATACTTTTGTTAATACTTCTGTAATAGTTTGCTGTCTTTTGTTATTATTTTCACAGTTTATAATTTGTTATCTTTGTTGCCATAGTCTATTTTGTTGGTCTTATTTAATCGTTGTTGTTATTGCCTGTTGTAAAGTTACAGTCATTACTGCTTGTTACTTGTTACCATTATTACTAGGCATAGTCTTCTTGTTGTTATTTATTGTAGTTTTTAGGTCCCACTCATGTATTTATTGCCAGCTTCCTTATTTATTATTACTAGTGGTCGTCCTGTGGTCGAAACTCGACCAAAAATAATTAATGTACAGACTTCTCTATTTTCTCCCCACACTGTAAATAAAACATGTGATTGGAATTTCTTCCATTTGTTTTGATTTTCTGTTTACATTTTGTTGTTATTTCGTCACCATCATGGCAACCCATATGGTCCATGTTAGTTTTTTTAAGTTTTCAAATTAATTTTTTGTGCTTATTTGTTAGCCTATTTTAATTTTTAAAGGCATTCTGCACATCTACAGGAAAATATCTTTCCAACATTATGCGTAGATTTTCCCTACGATGCACACGAGCTGAGAAAAAAGGTTTTAAAGAAACATGCTTGCCTATTAATATATAGACGAGAGCACGCCCCGTGGTCGAAAAATCGACCAAAAGTATGTTTTGTGCAAACTTCTCTATTTTCACCCCACACTGTTAAATAAAACATGTGATTGGAATGTCTTCCATTTTTTTTGATTTTCTGTTTATATTTTGTTGTTATTTCGACATCACCATAGCAACCCATAAAACCCATGTTAATTTTTAAAAATTTCAAATTCATTTTTTGTGCTTATTTTTGTGCCTATTTTAGTTTATAAAGGGATTCTGCACACCTACAGGAAAATAGCTTTCTAACGGTATGCGTAAATTTTCCGTACGATAGACACGAGCTGAGAAAAAAGGTTTTAAAGAAACATGCTTGCCTATTAATATATAGATAGATAGATAGATTGCACGATTTTTGTAACCACTGATATTAACTTATTATTTGCTACTTATGTATAGTTCATAGTTTGAGAAAATTGTATTAATGGAGAAACCGTTGGAATAAATAAATAAATAAACTTCAAGAAAAAATATATTATTTTTGTAGGTTGCATGTTGTTTTTGATTTAGGCCTATAATCTTAATATACCTTGATTTTCAGCCCTATTTTGTTAAGAAAATTAAAAATATAAATATATATAGGCCTAGAAGTTATATTTTTAGGAAGATAAGATTATGGAACCTTGAGAACCTCCTTGGGTGGATGACTATGTTTCCTATTTCAGATTGTTGTGAAGGATATAAAGCTTCAATCATGTTGATGTTGTTGATACATTTAACATGCACACAAAAATTTAGCCTAGATGTTATAGAGGATCTCTACGGATGTCTACATGCGACTGTGCATAGCAACAGAGCAGTAATTTACAGATGAAACACATTTGTAGGATAACGATGCGCTTGCAGCTACGGTATGTTGTACTGGAAATATAACTTAATTGTTATGAGCAAGGAATTGTTATGTCCATAGGCCAAAAACCAGATCCGCTCAACTGGCTTTTACTGCTATGAAAGCAATCCTCTGGTGATATTTTGTCACAATAGCTTGATAAATAACTTAGGCTAGAATGACCAAGGTGTTAAACTGTCCCAGCTTGGGTAAAACAGGCTTTAGAATCTTAGAACTACCTAATGATGCCTTGAACAACAAAAAAGTACGGTAACAAGTCTGGATCTAAAAATATTCATATAGCAATTTTTTTTAACTAAGTAGGTAGTGGTTATCTTATAGGGTTTTACCATAGTTAAAACATTTCCCTTGTGTTGGTTAGTCTATTAAACCGCATAAATATATAAAGTATTAAAACTTAAATGTTTTTAAATAGCCTATGTTTTTTCTTTGACGAAATCTATCCAGTCACTACTAGTCATCGATGGATACATGGTATAAAGGTATGGTTTTATATAACTTAGGCCAACTAAAGAAACATGGATTACAGTTTCTTAACTGGGGTATGCTGATATCGATTGAAACTATCTTCATGTTGTTTCTTGTCTCAGGATTACTGTTGTTAGATTATAAAAAGGTATAATGTTACCTGGATCTGACAGAGTAATCCAACGGTTATCTTGTTGACTACGCGTTTCGAAACACATTTGACTTCATCATAAGGTCTTCAAGAACATGTTTCACTCATCTGAGTGTAATTTGTATATTTGTAAAAATTATATTTATTTGTCGACCTCTGATGAGTGAAACAGGGTAGGCCTACAGTTTCTTAACTGGTGTATGCTTATATCATAAATATCAATTGAAACTATCGATTCGATTAGTAGGCCTAAACCTTCATGCGATTTCTTCATTACTTATCAGCAAGTTTGGTTAGTTAGGTTAGGCTATGACAGTTTCATTTTATAATAGATATATTTAAAAATATCAATTATTAATCAATAGCCTATTTTCAATTCGATAGTTTCAATCGATATTAGCATAGCCCAGTTAAGAAACTGTAGGCCTACCCGTGAAACATGAACTTGAAGACCTGATGATGAAGCCAAAATAGTTTCAAAACTTTAAGTCTTAACAAGACAACCATTAAGGCCGGTATCCACAGTGCGAGGCTGCTCGCTGCGAATGCCTCGTGCCATCTGCCTCAGGGTGAGCTCTTTAGCTGGCAGCTAGTTTGTAAACACGAACCACCCGCTATGCTTTCTATAACACTTCACTAAATCTCTGATCATGTCATGACTATCCATGATGACGCACAGCAGTGAGGCAACTTTCTTTGAGCACTGCTCTAAAACCGACAAGTACACGGCTCGCATCACATTGTGCGACGCGGGCGCCTCATAGCGAGCAACCCCAGTATCCACAGTCCAAGGCAAAACCGTGCATCTGCAACGAGGCATTCGCAGCGAGCTGCCTCACACTGTGGATACCGGCCTTTGGATTAGTACTCTGGCAGAGCCAGGTAACATTAATACCTTTTTATAATGAAACTATATATTCGATTAGTAAACCTTTATACCTTAATGCGATATTTGCATCATCAGCAAGTTTGGATGGATAGGTTAGGTTATGACGGTTTAATTTTATAATAGATATGGTATTTTTTTATATAAATATTATTAATAAATATTTTCATAACCTTAAAACGACTAAAAATCAGGATGGTCAATAAAATGTTACCGAGTAAGGCTGAGCTCTGGTAGCCTAAGTATCATACAAACTTAAAAGGTTTTCTTATTTGAACTGCATTTAATTAATTGGATATAATCTTAGAAGTACTTAAAATTAGCAAATGTTTTAGGTAAATATAATAGCTAACACACACACTTCACCTCACCCTCACACTCTTTTTGATTGTTGATTTGATTTTTGATTTGATTCTTTCTCTTCCTTTCTGCTATATTTTTTTCTTTTCTTCGAGAAAAAGATAAGGTAAATGCACCAGTAGCTGACAGTGATCCAGAAGCTGACAGTTTGAGTTTCTTAACATTATAATGAGGTCTCTTAAAAATATGTACACATGATTGCATTGTTAAAAGAACATATGTTTATTCTTGATTTGTTTACAAACAAATCAGCGAAATTTAGCTCATACTCGCGGAATGGTGGTGGTTTGAAAGCGACCCTGTCTGTACACATCACATTTAGTCGATTCCCATAATGAAATTGTTAAGAATAAGAAAGTAAGTTTGGTTTTTTGTCATTTCGCTAAATTTCTTAAATAGTATTAATGATTAGGCTCATTATTTTTATCAATTATACCTTTGTTGACAATTTCATGATAAAATTGGGGTGTTAGGGGTTTTGGATTTAAAATAATATCAATGTCAGGCTTTGGTACACAAAAGCCATACAAGTTCCACTAGCTGACAGGGGATATTTGCTACTTGCACAATATTAAATTGGTTTTACCCATCGGAATTTGCATGCTATTTATAATTTATGTGATCTCACATTTTTATAAAATGATTTAAATTTTTTAATTTATAAGCCAAATTATCTTAAAAAATGTATATTTTTTAAATATATATAAAAAATATATATATTTTTTAATGTAGGTAAATATTTTTTATTTTAAAATATGTAAAATAAATCTTCTTAACAACGTTTTACATGATTTTATAATTTAATTATTAAGTCAGATTTTATTCGTCTTATAAATTATAAAACCCTAGGTTTAGCAGCTAGTACATTTATAGTTCCAGTGTCAGCTACTGGTACAACTGACAGTCAGCTACTGGTACAAGCACTTTTTTCACTGTCAGTCACTGGAACACGTACAAAGGTTGAATTAAGTTTAAAAATGTTATAAAATATATTTAAAAAACCCTTTTTGTATGACAAATTTAAAAAATACACTAAATTTAGAATCACATAAAATCAGTAATATCTCTTTAGTTCCTATTTATTCAAAACCACGGATACTTAAGTGCGTATAGTTTCTTCTACTGTCAGCTACTGGTGCGTTTACCTTATTTTGGATAATTTGGATAATAAGAAGTTTCTTCATGCATTGATTAAAGGCCACAATGTTAGTGTTAATACTATTAGCATGTACCATGTACTTATCAAAAGTAAATGTTTGTATTCTCTTATAACTTTTCAAAGAACCCACCAGTGAAATAAAATCTATAATCTAAAATCTATTCCGCTTATGTTGGTCAATAACGAAAAGATACCAAGTAGGTAATAATTTTAACTAAAATATAAAAGTAAGATGAGCATTGAGCATGCTATGTCGAGATTTCATTTGTTTGTTACTAACTAAGATAAGATCGTCGTAGATAAAACATGCTAGGGTTGAGCTGTTTAATTGGCCAGAATTAATTCGAAAACTCAAAGACGAAATTGCTAGGGCCGGTAGAAACCCCTTGTTGGTGTCGACTTGACATTGTTTCGATCATTCAGTAATATATATATATTTGATACTTTTCAATGAAATGGCGACCATACAAAGTAGGTATTTTAAGCCAAGTATGAATGGCGATGAGTGGCGTGATCTTCTAGTCTTGTTAGTGACTAAGGCCGACTTATCCCTTAGACATAACTGTTAGTGTTAATTCTACAGCTAACATACAGCCCATACAGCTAATGGCAACTAAGGGATCTAAAGTTTATAGTGGAATCCGAACCACATTTTTGCCTTGGTATATACGAATTGGTTTAATTTTCAGTATAGTACTGCGGATAGTCGTAGTACTCATTCGTGTGGACGTTAATCCACACAGGGAGTATCGCATCCACAGTGCATGCCTATAAATATCCATAATTCATAACCTTCTAGTCGCTGGATTGCTGGATTGCATGACGACGCCACGCCACCCTGTATAGGGTACACCCGTATAGAGTACAGGCATAGCTGATAAAACATAAAATGTTTTTTTTTCTATGGTATAGGCATAGATAAAACATACGTGTTGGTTAGTCTATGGTATAGGGCAGGATCTCCTTTACTCCTTTACATAAAAAATAAAAAAATAATGCCAATAACGTAGTAGAAACACAAAAAAATACAACTGATTTTACAGTCTCATGGAGTAAAACGGGACAAAGACTATAATATTATAGGCAAACCCTTGTCCAGTTTTGTTTTTGTTTGTTTACTTTGTATTAATTGTTTTGTTTTGAGTTGTGCGAGCGAAGGAAGAGTGAGAAGAAGCTGCGAAATTATAGGTTATAGTGAGTTTATGTAGGTCTGCAATTTGTTTGTCACACAGTATATTAATATATAATTAATAATTTCCATAGACATAGCCTGTTCTAAAAATTGTAATAAAGTTACTAGGGTTAAAACTTAACGCACCTTGTAGGCTACCTTTGCCCATGTCAAGGAGTTGGACTGGTCAGTAACTGTATTTGTATTAAGTTATAGATCTAACTTAGCCTATATAGGCCTAGCCTACTTAGTCCTATTCCAAACATTTAAGTTAACTGATAATGGTAATGTTTACAAACTCCAATATTAAAATATTTATTTAAACAGAGTAGGCCTAACGGAGTGGTTAATAAACTCTAGATTTCACCAAATTCAATAATAGGCCTAATCAACTTAAGTTAGGCCTAATCATCGCCATTCAGTATAGGCTACTACAGGTATAATCAATGTCATCGCTTTACTATCCCCAATGTTATTAATTTAAATACTCTAAGTTGAGCACTTCACAAGCTCCGAAATTATCAACTCCATTAGTGCAGTCACAGCCAGAACTTTCTACAGGGGTTGCCACGGTCAGATTGCAAGCACCGTCTGTTAGGTTAGGAGTAGAAACATTTACAGTACATCGAAAAATTGGCTTTATACTACTACATTCTTTACAATGCAATAACAGACCGACTAACTTATGTTGTTTTGTGTGGATAACAATGCAAGAACGTGTGTTGCCTGCGATCTGACATGGGCTGCAGCAACTTCTGGCCCAAACTGTTTTTTGGAGTCCTGAAACGTTCTACTTACAGTATTTATAAATTAATAGGCCTAACATTGGAGTTTGTGAAACAAAGTTAAACTTAGGTCTATTTAACTTAACCCTACTTATTAATGGTGTAAGATTAAACTTAAGTTAGTAATTTTCAGAATTAGGCTATATATAATCACGGGAAAATTTTACCTTATTATAATCAATCACATCCATAAAATCAGTGCCCGATTTGTATGGAAATGCGGCGAAACGGAGTTCCGGTACCGCCCTTTCAGAAAGATAAAAATATTGGCATAATTTGGTACAAACTGGTGCATAGGTACAAATTAAATTAAATAGGTTACAGTTCTGGCACCCATTTTATTACAAATCAAACAGTACATCAAATACTTAATGGTATTTATTCCGTATAGGTGCCTCCAAACCAATTTTTAATTTGTATATCTTATTTTATAGTTTTTTACCTCCTGAATCCAAATATACCATTATTTTTCACCGCTGATGAATATTTCTCAAGATATCGCCGTAAAAACATACTTAACATTACAATAAACAAGATAGGATGGATAACATTTCAAGTGATTCTGTAGTCAAATAACTTAATGTTCTCTATCTATAATAGGAATTTCGTCAAATTATGGAGATATAGATGGACTGGTGGACTAATTACATGTAGGCTTAGTTGTTATTTAGGCAAGCATTTTTGAAAAAGTAATTTGAAGTGTTTTTCTCAGGATTTTAATTTTACAAAAACAGTCTGCAGGCGACATAAACTAACAACTCGATACATTATAACCTAAACTTTACCTTCCTAATCTAACCTAACTTCAAAACACTTAATGCAGTCACCAATTCACATACAGCACGACCTACCACCCTGACATGCCTTTTCTGACATCAAAAGGAGTTTGCTTACACATTCTAGAGGTTTGGTTAGGTTAGGTTATGTTAGAATAGCACCATTTTATTAGGTAATTTCCAAACGGCGAAATATAAATCAATAAATCATTAATAATGATAAAATACTGGTAACAATAATACATTATTAACTTATTGGTTTTAGAAAGTGAAAAGTGTAACTTAATCAGGTGATTTTCATATTGCAGAATCAGAGTTAGCTAATTAAAGTTCACTTCCATTTGCGTGACTATGATTGAAAACAATCAGCTATTGGTTTACTTAACCCATAGTTCATTCCACTTGTAAATGTCATCCACCCTACCGTACCTTGTTTATTGTAGGCCTAATGTTGTAGGCTATATTATTACGGCGATATCTTGAGAAATATTCATCAGCTGTGAAAAATAATGGTATATTTGGATTCAGGAGGTAAAAAACTATATAAAGTAAGATATCAAAATTAAAAATTCGTTTGGAGGCACCTATACGGAATAATTACCCAAATAATACCAATAGCATATACATACAGTACACTGACTTTTATCCGGTGCTATGTAGTGCTTTATAAATAGCTAACACTAATCAGGATCATGATCACTGACCAGGATTTAATCAGTATCTGAAAGATATGGCTGAAAGTTGTGTAGAACATGCAGAAAGGGATGTTTTAACCTGATATGAATAGGCTTCTCATAGCAAACCATGTGAGTAGAACATAATAGTAAAAATTCAATCAGTAAAAATCTATGAACATATATTATCATAATTCCTCTCATTCCCTTCTCTCAGTAGTAAAGACTAACATAGAGAGAAGTGAAACCAAACTGTAATTACTCATTTTAACCACTGTGGTCTAGCTGTGAGACAATTTTAATGTTGAATACAAGCATAACTTATATTTTAGGTTTCTTTTGATGTGACGTAGAAGACAATGGAGCTGAGAGAGCCAAAACGCAAGCGAGTTGGTGGTCACATCAAACCGCAGCAACCCTTCCCCATTATTATCGAGAGTGAAAGTGGAATAAGTGTTGATAGTGAACTTCACTTCCCATTGTACGTTGGTAACTTCACTGGCGATTGTGTCGTCTGCAACCCTGAAGAAGCAAGATCCTTATACACTATGGTATGAGAATGATTTTCAAATTTTGGTAAACCCAACTAAAAAGCCTGTTTCATCATAACATCATACCTTTTTTCACACTATCCGATTTTGCTCGTCCGATTTTTAGTTAGGCCTAGTCGCATTTGTAGTTGAGCATTGGAGCTTATGGCCCCTTTCACATTATACAAGTACCAATCGTGTCCTACATTCACTCTGACAGCGCCCAGAAGGTGCTACTGCGGGTATCCAATTCCCGGACTAGCTTTAACCGGGTTTACAGCTAGTGGACGGCGTGGCCATATGGTCCTTTTCACACTACACGATTGGTAGTCATTCGTGGGCCCTCCCCAAGTGCAGTTCGTTGCGTATAGTTTTGAGATAATTTGTTTTTACAGTTTATATTATTTGGTTATTGAGTTACATATATTGATGCTTGCTTTATTATATTAATAATAAATAGTTTATTATAATAAATAAACAAAAGGGTTCACTATCTATTCTTGTAGTGATCTAAAATTATATAAATATTGATAGGACTATAGTAGTTTACGCAACGATTGCGTTAAGTTAATCTTTACAACACGAGTAGAAAATTTAAGGCACGAGCCTTGGCAAGTGCCAATTGAAACATTGAAAAATCCTAATATAGCCTAGAATACCATATTTTTTAGCGGTAATTGACAATAAAATTTGAATTAGTCCTAAATTATCTTAAGATACTTCATTTTAAATTAAATTGCCTTTTTCAGGGTTTCTTCGGCAAAGGATCTTTCTCCAGAGGGTATCCAAGTTTTGGATTGACTACCAAAGGAATCCCTCCCATCATTAAAGAGAGGCAATGGAAAAGACGCAAGGGTTGGATGGAAAGCATGAAGAATAATGTTGTAAAGACCTTGCAGCTACAGAGAGATGAGTCCGTGAAAAATAACTCGGAAACTGTTCAAAATAACCAAGATGTTGATGATGAGGACACAAATAAAATAGAAGCTGCCAACAGTCAGAATAGTGTTGATAACGTATCTGAGAATCAGTTGGTGTTAAATAGTGGAGACCAAGCACATAATTTAAATAGCAAAGTTTTAGTTTTGACTGATAGTGACGATGAAGATCTAGAAAAAGTCATTCGGAACCCTAATCCTCATTTAGAGGATGAACCGTTCAAAACATCTGCTGAAACTTTAAATTTGACGTTGGAAGAGGCGTTCTTTTTAAGTTATGCTCTCGGATGTCTTCATGTCTATGATATTTCAGGACAGTTGTTAAAGCTCAATCACTTGTGGCAGACTTTTTGTGAGACTAGATCAGATTTTATTGAGATGTACGTTTCCTATCATTACTTCAGAGCCAAAGGTTGGGTCGTCAAAACAGGGTACAAATTTGGAGGAGACTTTTGTAAGTACAGTGTATACAATTGTTTTAAAAAGCAGTGTGTTTTAAATTTGTATTTGTAAGCTATAAATTTTGTTTAAATTTGTAGCCCCCCCCCCTTTAAACGAGTTACCTGCCTCAGTGTTTTTCAAGTTACAAGAGGCAGGTAACCTGTCCGACTACTGGTATCATCATGTAAACTTGGCTTTTATGGAGAATATAAATTCTGGTAACTTGTTTATTTATGGATCTCATACAACTTGGAAATTCTTGTAGCATGTCTAATATTTAATGAAAACAACTATTTTGGATTACTTCTCAGGAAACCTACACGGGAAGTACTTACTCATAGAGCCAATTTTATACTGGGTGTGGCACATTTGTTAAACATTTTTGTCCAGTGTTGAGTTACCTTTACACGCACGTCTGCACATGCGGCATTTGTTGACTGCCAAGCAGCTACTTGCTGAATCACGATCAGTGTTGATGACTGTTTGTCTTTTCTCTTTTGGTGCATGTCTGTGCTTTTTGTTTCCCGTTCTGTGCTGGTCTTTCCCACACATCAAAGAAACAAACAGACTGCTGGGAAAGTGATCAACTTGTGGGTACCTCTGCTTGGAAATGGGCAAATACCAACACAAATAGCTCGTCACCAGTTAAGATATTCGGTGTTCAGCGAATGCCACATGTGCAGACCTGTCTTATGAACTATTCTCTCACAAGATATTAGTTTTCATTTAACATAGCATCTTTCTGATCAGCATGTCATTAAGTGACTATTAAAAGAAATTTTAAAATGTGTGCATTATTGATGTTGATATTTTTATTTTAGTGCTGTACAAGCAAGGACCTGCATTTTATCATGCTTCGTTCATTGTTTTGGTGGAAAAAGTAAATACCAAACTAGAAAGACAAAATGAATCCCTCACTTGGACCAAACTTCATGGCCTCAACAGGCTTTCAGAAGGCTCTGGAAAAGTATGTTATTTATATATAGTTAAAGAAATATAGTTCAGAAGTGTTTACATTAGGTAAAGTTGTATTGCTCATTCTTATCCCATTGGCGCCGACTTACGAACGAGCGTTACTCGTTTGGCCGCTGCAGGCCCGGCGGCTGACTTACGAGTGCTGCTTGTGTCACAGCTAAGCAGCGCTACTAGTTGTTTTATTATTATTTTTCTCCCACTTTTGGTTTCTTCATACTTTTAGGATGTTTATAAATATCTTGCTTCTTGTTTTGCGTATTTACTCATTTATTTTTACGAATGACAAACAAGGTTGTGTTGCCATGGAAACAAGATATTACCCAAAATCAGCTGCGGTATCAGTCCAAATGTATTAAACCCCAATCGCAGCACACCTGTGCACTCAACAACGTTTAAATTCTCCAATGTTAAATATTAAAACATAAAAACCTTCATCAAAGTATTATAAACGTAAAAGGGATGACTTTTTTTAATTTATGGCAACAGCTAATTTGCAACCAAAAGGTGAGTGAGCGTAGCAAACGAATATCAACCTGGAGGCGAGTAAGCGTAGCGAACGAGCTAACCTGAAAACAAGTGAGCGCAGCGAACGATTTACAACCTGAAGGTGAGTGAGCGTAGCGAACGAACTTCAACCGGGACGTGATAGAGCAATGCGAATACTTATGAAGTTAAGCGGGGCAAAGCCCGCGGGTACAGCTAGTTAATATATAGAAGAAGATTATCTCTCTCATTGTACTAATTTAAGATGAACTAGAGGACCCATGCTGCTCATCCGAGTAGTAATCAAATTTATGATTTTTCATTGAGTAATGCAGCATCTTGAACTAAACTGATTCATACGATCAATAGCTCAAATTAAAGCCTATAATTTACTGATTATTTGAGTCTAAAACATATAAAAAAACATAAACAATAGGCCTACTGGAGATATTTATTTTTAACTATAGAAAAACTTAGTTAATAGTTATTTGTGTGAGAGTGGCACTAACTAGTGGTGAGAGTGGCACTTTGCTGCACACGAGAGCAATGTTTAACTTTTTGATATTTTTATGATAGAAATCATAAACGTGATGGTCAGGGACAAGCGGTACGGTCGTGAATTGTATGGAATAATCTAAATCTTTCTAAACAATCCTTCAATTATACTGTTAGTTATAATAAAAATATGTGTTTAAATTGAACTAAACTGTTCAATTTACAATTATATTAAAGTTATTGTCACGACCAAACACACTATAATCCATAAGGCTGAATTGGTCGTGAAAAAACCCGCGATGGTCGTGAAACTTTGGTCGTGAAATTACGTGTTATTTGGTTCTGTTCTGGCGGTAGCCCTGCACCTCATGTTCGAGGATACAAAGTGGACTTCTAGGTTAATCTAGCAATTGAAATATCTAATAAACAAAAATTAACACCATGTATACTTCATCGAAGGACTACGTACGGTCATGGACACACCAAAATTACAAAAAACACAATCTTTCCTTTATTAATCTTGTAATTCCTCCTTTCGACTCGAAACGACCGGCACTACAATCCTGACGTACACCCCGAACTAGTCTCTAAAACCAACTGACTCCATCGAAGCCAGGCTTGCCACTGTCGTGCTCCAAAGTTGAAAATTTTTCCCAAATGGTCGTGACGCCAAATCGAGGGACAGACTTCTTTTGTCATGGTAGTCAGTTTGTAATGACAATAAAATTATAATATGCTCCTTTTATGTAAATTTAATAACCATTGATGACATAAAAATATGGCTTTATATATTTCGGCTTTAGTCTAAAATCAGCGTGAAAGTTAGAAAATGTACCCTAGGGACACGTCATGGTCGTGAATTTCGAGACTTTAAAAATACGAAAAAAAATACCTAGAACATATTTAAAACCAAATAAATGTGTGTAACATGTTGCCCCCGTCCCAAAAAATATTAAAACACATTATAATAAACTACAAAACCAGTATCTACGAAGTAAAAGGCCAGGGACATGAAAATGTACGTTTTTAAATTTTCACTCATATGCTGATGCTTGATGTAAAATCTGTGTGTCCCTACCTTCAATTTGAGACATCAATAATTAAAATTGGTTGGATAGAAGAGCCAAAGAACTTGGAAAAGAAAAACCAATTTTTTTATATTTAAGATTGTTAGTGCTCTCAATTTATAAAATTAAAACAATTTTGTGTGAAATTAAAATTAATTAATCCGCCTATCTCTGTATTTCAGGATGTTATTGTTTGCCAAGTCGTGTTTCCTGATGATCTCACATCAGAAGATTTGAAAACGCCCAAATCATTACCAATGTTCCAAGTAAACGAACTGTTGATAAAGCGATGGATCTCTTCACAAGAAAGGGAAGATAAAGAGGTTATCCTGAATGATGTGTAAAAATTAGATAAATAAAAATACTGTTAGTTCTATTACAGCCTCTTTTTTACTGTTGACAAAATAGGTACTCCTTAGTTGTAAACTCATTGTAAGCCCGCAAATAAAATTAGTCACCCCATTCGCACTTTAAAAGAGTTTATAAACCAAAGTGGGAAGGACAAATTGTTGTCGAGTTTCATGAAACTGAACCATTCATTATTTTTAAAATATTATGATAAACTATAAATAAAGTCTGTTCACAAAATGTTGGCTGTTTAACCCTTTGAGTGCCAACGTCCGGGGAACCGGACGTTTTTAAAACGAGCCAAAAGTGCCGACGTCCGGCCGACCGGACGTTTTTAGAACATGCCAAAAGTGCCAACGTCCGGCTGACCGGACGTTTCGTAATGATCGAACAGTTGTCATAACAACCGAATGGATACTCGGATTCTTTTAACCCATATATTAACATTGAGTTGAAAGTTACTAGATGCAATACATCGATTTTCGTTGGTCGAAATATCGAAAATTCGATTTTTACGAAATTTTAACCTAAAAATCGCCAGATCGCGCTCGGCATTTTTAGCGCGACCTTCGGGAAAAATCATCGGCATTTTTTGAGCGTTACTTTTATTTCTCGCCTGGCACTCTAAGGGTTAAGAGGGAGGTTTCCTGAGTTCCCAACCACTTTTTTAGCCTAAATGTATAAATCAGCTTATCAGTTAAGCTGTTGTTTTAAAGTTAGGTGGAGGGGTAAAATCGCTTCCCCATAAATCATCTAAATTTTGTGAACGGAGTATAACAAAAAAAAATTATACTGTCCATACCAAGAAATCTATTTATCACAAAGACAAAGTTACCATGCTTTGGATATCCTATCACAACTCTTTTACGGATAGATTTCACCTAAATACAAAAATGGTAAAGGAAATTTAAATACTTATGTCTCTCTTTTGCTGTACTATGGAAGTAGTTTTAAAAACATAAGTAATTTACCACTATCCAAGCCTTTTGTAAAGCCTGTTGACATATCACATTCCACCTCAGCATTTAGAAACAAAGCAAAATTCAAGAAGTTCTGTCATGCATCTACCATGAATACTGTGAATTGAAAATCTTTTTATTCAAAGGTAAACAACAACGATTGGGAAAAGGGTGTATCTCAAGATTGATAAAGCGAGAAAAATTAACCATCAGTCTTTTAATTAATAAATTAGACTATACAATGAATATAAAACATAATAACAAGACTATTACTATTATAGACAACAAGAACTAATATAAACTCTCAGTGGTGCTGCGGTTACCATGGTTACCATAGGTTCTGGCGCACAACGCTGGGAGCGCTGTGCAGTTACTTAGTGCCAACGCCGTACCTACTTAGCGCTCCCGGCGGTGTGCGCCATAAACAATGGTAATCGCAGCACAGCTGACGGTCTATATTAATTACTTTTGTCTATGCTATTACACTCAGGCATGTGATTGTTTATTCTCTTCTGCCTTACGTTGCTTCATTGTTAAACCGGTTCTTCTGTATTCAGTCCTATCCCTAAGATATTTCTGTTTGCATTCCTCTCTAAAATCTTCATTATTCCACCAATTTGCAAGACATGATTTCAAGTTTTTGTTCTCTTGTCTACAATTCAACCACATCATCAAACCACTTTCCTTGCCACATTTTGTAAAAGCTGAAAAAAAAAACAAATTGTTGAGTTTGAATAAATAATAAATTTATTAGTCATTCAACAAAATTACAAAATTTGCAAAAGGCATTGTCATACATGTTAGCATAAATGTTATCACAATAGGTAGATGATTGTTGCTTTTAGGGGCCGATCCAAGATTTCATTTTGGGGGAGTCCCCCCTGGAAAATGTTTTACCTACGACCGTTTTTTATAGTAGCCATTTCAGTCCAGTTCTTAGAATTGAAAAGTTTCACTTTACAGCTGTTTACTTTCATATCCGCATAGTTTCATTTCATATTCGCATAGTTTTCTCATATCCACACAGGTAACGGACCAATGAGGTTCAAGTATTGAGAGAAAAGAATTGAAATTGTAATGCTTCGAACGTCAACTAATCAGCTGATCAGTTGACCAATTTAATTGTTGATGATAATGATCCGACTTGTTCATGTTGATACTCGCGTATTCTTAATTAAGTTGGTGGAAGTCCAAAAATAAATGAAATATTTGCCGAATTGTATCTGATACAATATTATCTATGGTAAGAATGCTGCTAGCAATGTAATATTTAACAAAGTTTAACAAACATAATTACAGGAAATCAGCTGATTATACAACAAGTCGTTGCATCACTTTCAGTGGCAATGACAATACACAAAAACATAACCTCTCTAAAAAGTTATCAGTAGTGATTGTTAGTAATTAAATACAGATTGATAGTAATTAAAAAACGGTCGTAGGTAAAGTAGTGTACGCAACTCGCGTTAATAGTCTTTACGACACTTGTAGAAGTTTTTAAGGCACTCGCCAAGGCTTGTGCCTTAAATTTTCTACTCGTGTCGTAAAGACTCACTTAACGCAATCGTTGCGTAAACTACTATTGTCATTTTAGTCAATGAAACCACCATTCTGAGTACTATTTTAAAGTTTTAACAGCCAAAAATTCATATAACGATGGTAGTTTCTCTGATTTTTAACTAGTTACATACTTTTTCATTTTATCTCATATTGTGCCTTTATTTTTTTTCCGCCTGGATAACTGTAAAACTTATTATGTTTTAAAATTTGCAATAGCCTAATAGTGATAATAAGAAACGGGACTTAAAAATTATAAGATTTAACTTTTTTAGTAGCAAAGTATTGAAAATTAGCTGATCTGACTAAGTAAGTGCATTATATGGATAGAATAGAAACAATAAACAAGTATGAGTAACTGTATCAAATTTTATTAGTATTAGTAAGTTTAATAATTTGCATAATACATAATTTACAAGTATAAAAGAGACATTTGGGTTAGAATTCATATTGTTTACATCAGTTCACAAGCAGTAAACTCAACACTCGCATCAATATGCCTAGGAAGCGGACTGCAGAGCCCAGACGCGTCGGCTATTAGCCCACTAGCGATTTGAGCGAGATGCTGATTTCATCCAACTACTTAAACACAATTGATCCTCCGCACCGTGCCTTTAATAATTTATGATTATCTGGTATTCTCTATAAATTATTTTTTTTTTTATCTTTCTGTATAAGTTAATGATTTAAAGTAGATTATGAGTAGGCCTACATTACATTTTATATTTGTGACATAACGTTTACATCTTTTATACCGGTACGTATCTTTCAACAAGTATGGGTTTTAATGGCATAGGCCTAAACCAGTGGCGTAGATAGACTCTTGTCATGGGGGGGGATACCGGGGGGTCTGGGGGATACCCCCCAGCAAGCAGGGGGGTCCGGGGAAAATTTGAGAAAAATAACTTCCCTAAACACTATTTTTAAGCGTTTAGGAAGTGAAATCTGGTGTTAATACTTAATAAATTTTATGCAATTTCGTTGCAACTTTTCGCTTTAATTGCAGGTGGACTAGTTTTTTTATTACATTTATTTTTAAAGTACTTAGGCTAGGCTTTTCGTTATATGATAACATTTAACGTTATGTTTCTCTAACACTTCCTTTAACTCTGAATATTTTGATTAGTATGTTTACGCCACACGCCCACACAACACTATTTTGATGAACTTCCCACGCAAGGATTTAGTCCAGAAAACATCTGTTTGCCGCCAGCTTAATCAAATGGGGTTTCATTGCGTACTACTGTACTGTAATGAGTTTTACCGGTCACCAATCAGCTGATTATACACTGTATTTGCGTGACAATGAGTGTTTATAAACAAAAACATAACCTCTCTTAGAGATTACGACTATTGATTTTTAGTCCTTTAGTTGGTGGTCAGCATATACTGTATAAAGATTTGTTAAGATTTAGTAGTATGGCGTAAACTATTGTACGTAACTCGTCCAAAATGTGTTTGCCGAACTCGCATGGTAATCCCGTACTCGACCTCGTCTCGCACGGGAATGACCACACTCGTCCGGTAAACACTTATTTTCAGGACTAGTAACGTAATATAAATAACGTGACTTGGCCTATTAAAAAAATTTTATTTCAAAGGCGAGTAATAAAATCACTTAACTTCATTGTTCCATTGCCACACCAGCTAACGCCTCCAAATTTTCGTTTCGGGGTGAAAAACCCGATCAGTTAACTTCACAGACACTCAGAACACTCATGAGACACCACGGAATACGAAAATCATAAAAACCACTGAGCTAAAATTTAAACTGGAGGTAGCACTGCCATGGCAGAAGTCTGTCAAAAGCGTGTCGCTGATTTTGTTAGGTTGGTATAGCATCGGGTTTTCTTATCATAGCAATAACATGGCTTCTTATAACTAGGTTGGTATAGCAGTGAGTTTTTTGTCATAGCAATAACATGGCTTCTTATGACACCCGCCTCACGCAAACATGGCGGCTGGCGACACGCATCTTTGACATTCAGTGCTACCTCCAGTTAGAATTATAGCTCAGTGATAAAAACACACTGGCACAATAATTAACACCAGACGACAGATCAAGCGTAGTGTGGGAGACGGGGTAAGAGGAGGAGGGTGTCGATGGGCGGTTGAACGCGGAACGTCCGGTGACTCACGTCTGTTTGGCGCGCAAATATCCCAACCCACCACTGCTACCGGCTACCGGAATGTAGTTTATCTGTTTCCATTTATTCATTGATAATGAAAGTATACGTACAAACAAACAAGCTTAGTACAATAGGCATCACATTTGATTAACTATTTTATTGCTCACGTTACAACAATTAATTTCAGGTAGGTGTAAAAGGTGAATGGTGGCGGAAGGGAGAGGGGCGGATAGGCTGTTGACCTTCCGTGACTTGTGTCTGTACTCTGTTTCGCGCGCAAAAACCATACTACTTTCACTGGCATTGCAGTTTATTTACGATTTATTGATATTGAAAGTATACTTACAAAAAACAAGCTTAATACAATAGAAGTAAAATTAAAAAGATTCACTATTTCATTGCATACGTTAAAACATTATTTTTTTAATGTTATTAAAATTTGTTTACCCATTATAGGTTGAAGGGGGGGGAAATATCCCCCTGATCCCCCCCCCCCCCGTATCTACGCCACTGGCCTAAACTGTAAAAACATGGAATAAACAGTGGACTATGTGGTTAACCTTATAATAGGAATGGGCTCATTCCAACCCTTGATTTCTCAAAAATTTGTAATGCATCTGTCATGAGCAAGCGTGGATTCTTAATAATTTTGAAACTTAATTTAGAATCTCCCACAATCACTGTGAAATTGAGTCCATCTATCGCTTTTGGAATAATATTACGATAGTTATTATTGACATAGAAAGTATAGAACAACAACTATCAATTACGTAAGTTAATATCCCAAGACTTCTATAAAAAAACCTGCAAGAGTTATTTAACCCTCACCAAATAACAGGTGTAAAAATATCCTATTGTTTTGTTTTTAATGCCCCTACGTTTTAGATCTAGGCTATTTAACTTGTCACTATTCACTATTAAACTATTCACTTCAAAATTGTTTGTGAATAATCAATGAAACCTTTTTAGTTTATTTTAAGTAACTTTTGTTTTATTTATTGTGTCCTTTCTGTCTAGATAGGATCGTGTCTGACCAAGCATGGCGGCTGCCGAATGCAAAAGGCAACATCGCTACAGTGTCATTATGCAGGTCACCTATAGAGTGAATTTTTTTTAATACTTCATTTGTCCCTTAGGTCCACTTTGCCAACTCCACCTTACCTGGTCTAGTAAGCCCCGTAACAACGAATACTAGAAAAATACCGGTATGGATCATAAACATAAACAAATTATGTTTTTGGCCCAAAAGTAAACAAAACCCCTAAACTAATAGCCTAGCATATAAATTCAAATTTATTTTAGAAATTGAAATCTTACTACACATTGTAGTCTGCTGTGGAACAAAGAATAATATTACATTAAATTTTGCAAGTTTGTTTAAACTTAATTATGATAATTGTTGTATAGGTGGTTTCTTATAATATTAATAGAAAATGTTATGGCTGTTAAAGATATTAAATAAATCACTTGATTTTCCAAATTGAATTTCTTCCAAAATTTCTTGACTTGATGAGGAATTGTTCCTCTTGATCCAATAAGTAGTCCATATACTTAAAATTTAGATATTTTATATTTTTCCGAATAATAGGGGATAGTTTTCTTATATATATTTACTTTTTCTTCATGAACTTCCTGTGGCTGATTTCATTTGTCTCAAGACGAACTGTTGGGTCTATAATGAGACCGAAATCTTTCCCCTTGTCTAACAATGATGTCACTCCGCCTCACAGAGCCCTCTTCTTCTATAGCCGTGACCTCTTCATAGACCTCGTAACTTTTCTTTCTGAATTGATCAGCTATGATTTTTCTGATCGTATGGTGGCGGGTATTCTGTAGAAGACTACTAAATGGGCACTTTCCAAGGACGTGGGCAAGAGTTTCAATAATAAATTTCTCAGATACAGGACAATGCCTGCACTGGTTCCCCTCCCTGGATCTCCCATGAAGACTTCTAAGAGGAATAACGTCTCCGACCATTTTCAAGTATTGTTTGAACTCGGCTTCTGTGAGGCCACAAC